TTGTCACTTTTTTTAGTATTCGTCACTTTTTGAATATGTGTCACTTTTTTTAGTGTTTGTCACTTTTTATCACTTTTTAATGTTTGTTACTTTTTCGGTATTTGTCACTTTTTTTGAGTTTGTGTTACTTTTTTTTAAAAAAAAAGTAAAAAAAGTGATATTGTGTCACTTTTTCATTTTACACAGTATTTTTTACTTCCTAAAAACTTTTCATATGATTTTTCAAAACATCTATAATTTTAAGGGTATTTTTGTAAGTACCCCTAAAAAAATTGGCTAATTGATCCGGTCAAATTCTATTTTTGACCGGGCCACTTGCATTTACATAGTATGAGCGTGCCTAGCCCGGAATAGGGTCGGATCACTGGTTTATCGGGCTGGGCCTATTTTAATAAGGGAAAATTTCATAATTAAGAAGTTTAGTTTTACTAATTTCAAATTGAGAGAATTACAAAAAATCAGATTTTTAAATATTCAATTTCAAAAATCAGATTAAAGTAACTTTTCAAAAATCNNAGATTAAAGTAACTTTTCAAAAATCGTACATTTTATCTTAAATATCAAATATTATTAAACAATTTCCATCCCAAACCCTAATCAATTTCATTTTAATTTTCCTCTTCCTTCTCTCTTATGTCCTCATTTTCTCTCTCTACCTTCTCTTAACCTTCCTATCTTGTCTATCTCTCGACCATATCTTCTCTCTCTCTCTCCTTCGGGAAATTGTCAATGAAGCTTAGTCCCACATCAACGGCAGATACTCTAGATTTCATGGCGGACATCGTGAGGAAGGTTATGGAGGTGAAGGCGGCGTAGAGGTTATGGCCGCCGTGAGGGAGGTTTAACTGCCATAAACCATCTTCCCGCCGCCGCCACGCCCGTCGCCGTACTACTGGTGATGATGGATGTCGCTGCCCTTTGTGTGTGGATGGTGGTAGGGGCTGGTTTGATTGGGCGATTGGGATGTTGGGTGTTTCAATGGCTGTGTGAATCGATGTTGATCATCTTGATTTTGAGTCGGCAGGTGGGGGACTTTGTTGCTGGAAAGGTACGAAGGAAATGGTAGTGTGTAATTNAGATTAAAGTAACTTTTCAAAAATCATACATTTTATTTTAAATATCAAATATTAATTAAACAATTTCCATCCCAAACCCTAATCAATTTCATTTTAATTTTCCTTTTCCTTCTCTCTTATGTCCTCATTTTCTCTCTCTACCTTCTCTTAACCTTCCTATCTTGTCTATCTCTCGACCATATCTTCACACTCTCTCTCTCGTTCGGGAAATTGTCAATGAAGCTTAGTCCCACATCAACGGCAGATACTCTAGATTTCATGGCGGACATCGTGAGGAAGGTTATGGAGGTGAAGGCGGCGTGGAGGTTATGGTCGCCGTGAGGGAGGTTTAACTGCCATAAACCATCTTCCCGCCGCCGCCACGCCCGTCGCCGTACTATTGGTGATGATGGATGTCGCTGCCCTTTGTGTGTAGATGGTGGTAGGGGCTGGTTTGATTGGGCGATTGGGATGTTGGGTGTTTCAATGGCTGTGTGAATCGATGTCGATCATCTTGATTTTGAGTCGGCAGGTGGGGGACTTTGTTGCTGGAAAGGTATGAAGGAAATGGTAGTGTGTAATTGNNNGAAGGAAATGGTAGTGTGTAATTGGTCGGCTGGGCTGTTGCTTTGGCAGAGGCGATGTAGATGAGATGTTGTTTACGGTGTAGGAGGAGTCGTGTAGTGTCTCAACGACTCAAGGAGTGTTGTGCGTCAGAAGGGTTGTATGCGGTTGTTGCTCGGGTGGCCGTGAGGAGTTGGAATGGTTGCCGGTGACAAAGTGGTTGCTGATGAGAGGGATTCTTTGTTGGAGTAGGGTTTTGGGAGATTGGAGAGGGGGTGAAGAAATGTGTGTGAGAGTGATGACTGAAAATTATCTAGTGTCGGAATTTTTTATGGTTGGTGTCGGAATTTTTACTAAATCAAACTTACTGTGACTCATCGTGTGTGATTGTATTTTTTGCTAATAAGACACGGTATGGGAAAAATCGGCAATTGGATCGCGTTCTGGTGTTTAGGTGGTTTTTGTTGGTGGTTGTAGTGCATGTGGTGAGCGCCGACTGTGGTTGTAAGTGTTGACGATGGTGGTGGTCACAAATGGTAATGGTGGAGGGTGGGTGGGTAACCAATAATTTAGTTGATTGTGACCAATAATTTGGTTAATTTGTGACCAATAAAATTTTTAAAAATATGATTGTGACTCATAATTTATTAAGTTGTGACCAAGAAATAACTTGTGACTAATTAGTTTTTGGAAGTGGTGGTGCCTGGTGGATTGGGATAGGTAGTGGACTTAAGAGGGTTTGTGACCAATTATTTAAGATTGTGACCATTAATTTGGGTATTCTGTGACTAAAAAATAATGTGTGATCGATAAATTGTGACCTAAAAATTTGAGTTGTGACTTATGAAATTTCTGATTTGTGATCGATAAACAAATTATGGCTCGTAAAATTTTTGAATTGTGACCATAAAATAATTTGACTTATAAAATTTTTGATTTGTGACCAATGAACAAATTGGGATACAAGTAAATTTTTGAATTATGACCATAAAATAATTTGTGACTTATAAATATTTTGATTTGTGACCGATGAACAAATTGGGACATATAAAATTTTTGAATTGTGATCGTAAAATAATTTGTGACATATAACGATTCATTTTTTGTCGAATTCGATTAACGAGCCCCATCTAAATGTTTGGTCAAAGATTGATCAAAATAATCTTTTTATTAACTATTTTCTACCCCTCCATATGAATGAAAATTACCAATATGCATATGAAATGCAGATTCTAAAAAGGAGAACAGACGGTAAGCTATTGCAATAAGAAAGGTAACTTTTGACTTTGAACATTTTTTAGTAGAATACAATCGAATTCATTAGGCCGATTAGCGAACATGATGTCTTGAATTGTTTAACCGTTGGTGTAAATCAAGACAATTGTACCAACGCCATAACTTCTCTAACAAATTCGGTTTTTATAGTTGTTTTCATTTTAGCCCGGAACAACTCTTGGTTTCATAAGTACTTTTAGATAATTTAAGCCTCAAATTCTTAAAGAAGTTATCCCATTTCACACTTACATAGGTGATCTCCCATAGTATTCTACCATACTTCTCTTGGCTCTTCCAAGATATAGGAATCACTAAAATCATAACTGATCATGATACGCTTTGCAACATGGCACTTTTATTATCTAAGGAATGTGTAGAAGTGCTCGTCTGAATCATTTATAATTTAGTTGTCTCATTAAATCAAGATCTTGGGATCTCTAGTCAACAAGGTTGGGTTGCCACTATGATGATTTTAGTCAATAGGCTTTAAGCTCATTTCTTGCAGAGATGGGCACTTGATCTCTAGGCAATCCTTTCGTCAAAGGATCCTCTATATTTTCCTTTGATTTAACATCATCAATAGAGAGTATAACATTTTCAAATCAATTGTTTAATGGTAATGTGCCAGCAACTAATGTGTTGAGAATTACCATTATACATGCTACTTTATGCTCTTCCAATAGCCCCAACTACCACAATGTATGCTAGTAGCAGATACCGACTTATCCTAGCATGGAATGTCATCTAGAAAGTTACGAAGCCATTTTGCTTCTAATCCAACTTTATCTAAAGGAATAAATTTGGATTCCATCATGGATCAAACTATACAAGTTTGCTTTGAGAATTTTCAGGATACGGCTCTGACTCCAATGATAGAAATATAACCACTTGTAGACTTCGAATCTCGTGTGTTAGATATCCAATTTGCATCAGTATATCTTTCTAACACCTCGAGATATTTTGAATAGTGTAATCCATAATTAACTGCGTGTCTTAACTATTTGAGAACCATCGTTAATACTTTCCAATGGTAATTTTCTGGATTACTTGTAAACTTGCTTAATTTATTGACTGCATATGCTATATCTAGGCGTGTTCAATTTGTAATATACATTAAGCTGCCTATAATCGGTGAATATCCAATTGTGATATAGGTTCACCAATATTTTTTGGCTAAGTGTAGACGGGGTTCTTTTAAAATTGGCCAGGTCAAATGGGCCAAATTCAACTTTGACTTTTCCACTATTGAATATTTCACAATTGACCTAATGGTGTTCAAAAGACAAAAATGCCTTTAAGTGAAAAAAACAATTACAAAATATGATTTTATTAAAAAGATAATACTACCCTTTTACTTAACAAATAAAAACCAAACACCCCTACATAAAATTACAAATTCA